AACGTTAAAGTTTGTTACCTCTTTGAAGACTCATTAACTGCTTCTTGTGTGTTAGAGGCTCCGGCAGTACTTTCTTTGTTCAGGTTTTGCTCGAAAAGTCTTTTTGATGGCCCAGCTACAGAAAACGTTGCAGTGTTTCCGCTTTCGTTCACACGTTGCTGAAAAATTACTCTGTAATCGTTACGAAAGGAGCTATTTTTTGCAAAGAATGGAAGAGAAATTCATTTTCACTATCTTCGTATCTCTCCAATTATGGCACGCTATCCATTATACATCACACTATAAATTTACTACATCTTTTTGAGAAAACTCATATGCCAGAGCTTACGACGTACGAAATATTACCTAACTAAAACCGCCTGGAACGATAACGAGGATAATCCAAGCCAGTGATATTACTGAAAAACAGGATAACACGTAGAAACAGGATAACACGTGGGATAAGATTTAAGTACATGACTTTCTGCTCGTTAAAAGAGTGAACAACGATTGTTAAATTTAAGCCTTTTAACCAATAGTTAAATTTTTTTTGTAATAAAATGTGAAGTACCATGTCATTGCGTTGCTGATGCGCCTGTTGCGCAACATTATTTCGTTTCCCCGTCCATCCATATACTAGTGCGAGAGCTTCCATGGCCGTGGGATAGTTGAAACGACAGAGGTACTCAGTTTCATCATTGACGGTTCTAACTTCAGTGAACTGCACACTCATTGTTCCCATAGTTTCTGGAATTTGAAGTGGAGGCAGATTATGAAGTGTGGAACTTTCAGGCTGAAGTGCGGCTGAGACTTCTTGCGCATTCAGTTGATGGTAGGCACGAGGCGGAGTAAAAAATGATCTCCGTATTTCACGATTCTGGGCAGGAAATTCTCCATTTTCTGCACTAGTAGAATCCGCTTCTGCTGATTCAGTTCTCTGATTGCTCCTTCGAATAGCTGTTGAATAGGGTAGCAAAAAAGTCTAAAAAAACGATTCTAAGAATTTTGTGCGGCGCTGATTAGAAGCAAAAAAAGAATTTCTTTAAAATCAGTAGTCATGACCCCATCCGTATTCATTTTCCACGAAAGCCTTCGACATTTGCATTGCGCTGTTATTGTTCCCGTCTGGGATAAAAATAGTAGTAACGATAAAAGTGGTAGTTATAGTAACCATAATAATATTACTAATGATAATTACTAATGATAATAATTGCTATTACGATTATAACTACCGTAGCAGCAACTATTATTATAATTATGGAAACTCAATTAAAAAACCAAATAGACATAAATTTGTTAAAAGTCTAATAATAAGAAGATAAATAGTAAGAAATATCATGGAAAAGATATTTAAAAAAGAAAAAAAACAAATCTGTTTACTCAATGCTGTTTGCATAAAAGACGTGAATGAAACAGACTCCTCGTTGCACCTATGAGATCTTAGAAAAACGTTAAGGTTAATAGAAACCATTTAATTACCGCCCGGAAGTGCGTGGAATACTGTTGCTGGGAGTAGTAATTTTACTAGTGAATTCACTCGCTAGATTCCCACAGTTATTGTTTGCAGCTTGGTGAAACCGGATTCACTGCCAGTGATTAAAATGGTATGAAAAAACAAGAAGGAGCCTGTGAATCAGCCTCAATTTTTGCTTAGGGAAAAAATTCCTAAATTTGGCACTCTTTCAAAAAATCCAGTTCAAGCTGCTTCTACTACTATTGAATTTTACGATGGCTCTATCGAATTCCTCTTTCATTACTGAAAGCAAGAAAAAATTAAAATTTTCATATCAGAAACCTTGTTTTCTGCACTGACGCTCAACGACCATAAAGCAACAAACGATAGCGGTATCCAGAGTTGCAGTCCCATCCTGCCTGAAATTTTTCCACTCTTCGGTCCTGCACAATTTTCTATACTATTAGAACGCCACAGTGAGTTGCCTAGTATAGCTAGGATCACCCGGAATTCGGTGCAAAATCTTTGGTGTTAGCAGGATCCGGCCACCAATAGCACAATATTTAAAAAAAAGTCATCGGGGTTCTGTACGGGATCATTGATGCCTTAGAGATGCAACTATACTCCGAAAGCAACTATGATAACAACTATGCCATACCTACTATTTATGAATGAGTTGCTTGCTCCCAGTCTTTGCCCTTGCATATCATTAACTTGTACAATCGGTTCAATGAATTGTAAGAAGTGAGCGAAAATTTCTGAGTCACTTTTAGTGGAGGCTGAAAAAACTGCACAGTAGATTTTGCCGCACTATTTTTTGGGTAGTTGTGAAGGTATACATCGCTATTCTGAAGCATCATACTACTAGCTTTGCATAATTTTTCTGTAGTATTGCTGCGTATAGCATAATTTTTAATCTACACGCGTTATAATCCTGTCTGGCAATTCGTCTACAATATTTATTGTCCGCCATAAAAATTCAACGAAATCCAGTTAAAAATTTTTGACAGTGGTAAAATTAATTACGATAAATCGTGAAAAAGCTCCATATGGATTTCACTGACAAATTTCTCACTATAGAAGCGTTTCTGGACATTGTTGTAGTAACAGTATTATTAGCACATTTTTAAAATTCAAACAGATAGGCAGTGCTACTACGTTCAAGTCGCTGAGATGTTGAGGAACGGAAAGGAGCAGGATGGGGACAAATGGGAAGGGAATGTGGGCGAGGTGCTGAGGGAGCTTTAGGTATATCAATTTTTCTTTAATCTAAATAAGGTTGAAAAGAGCCTAAAGCCGAAAAACATTGGCTAGAACCAATGGAGAGACAGGAAAGGGCATTAACTTTTGCAAGATTTTAAATTCATCCAAAATTGGGATAAAGATTTTAATTAGTATAACGCAAACGACGGCAAAAAAGCTATCTGGGCTGGGAATTTTGCAATGCCGCGTGCAGACGGCGTTGTGTGAAGTAGCTTTACATTGCGTAACGTGTATAATTTAATAGTAATGTACCTTCTTGGGGAACCAGTGCAAGGTTTGATAATTCTTCACTGTTGTGAATTTTTGAAATTTTCAAACTCTTTTTGAAACTTTCAAGAAAATACGGGAAGAAGAAAAGTAATGGAATTTAATTTTGCGGCTTGGATGAAAAATAAAAAACTGCCGTCCTACGGGTTCATCCAAAAATGATTTATGCGCTTTTTAGAAACAACTTTCGCTTGCAACATACAAGAAAAATTCTTCGAAAACTTCTAACTGCTTTATTCAGGCAAACATCACAAGTACACATTTATAGAGGTGGGCATTATGTTGTCATAACAAAAAAAAGCCTAATAACAAACAAACACAACAGTATTGTACCAGCGCATTCAACCGCTTGGACCGGTGCAATTTTCATAATGCCTGAAAATCGTTCATCGCAATATTTGTTTGACACAAATAGGTATTAAGCTTAAACAGATTTGTAAGCGTTATTCTAAGAGAAGACAATAGCTAATCGTGATATATAGTGAAAATATTAAAGGCAGAATCCTAGAGCATTTCATTCTTCAGAACGGTTGCAGTCTTATGCGAAATATGATTTTTAAGAACGGAGCTTCGCGCATGGGGCGGGAAAATGCTGCAAAAATTCCAATTTCTCAGCTTTTCTGGTCGCTGAGTTGAGGTGGGTGACAAAACTCCGCACACACACACACGCACACACGCACACACACACGCAAGCACACACACACAAACACACACATACACATCAAAACATGCACACAGACAACCTCTTGACAATATACGCTTTTATACGTTTTTGCTGCTCGTGTTACAGTGCCACTACAGTGAACAGAACACACACACACACACACACACACACACACACACA